CCTCCCCCTCCCCTCCTCTCTCTCTCTCTCTCTCGCTCACTCGCTTGCATGAAAACATATCTTTCTTATTCTGTCTCTTTTTCCTCTCTTTTTTTTGTCTCCTTGTCTATCGACCTGCCCCTTTTGTTTTCAACATTAACATCCTTCTGTCTGCCAACATTCTCTTATTCTATTCTGAAATCTTCCTCCACGCTTCATAAGCATTCTGCGTCCCTCCAAGAAGGTAGGATATTCGGTGAGCTATCAGCACTGCCGAAACTAGGAGCTATAGGGAGGTTCTCCGGCTGCCTATGTAAACAGTTGGAGTACATGAGACTGCGTGTGGATTTTGGATGCATGTTGAGCCTCAGGCTTTATTAAGATTAACGACGATGACCGTGTACTTAGAAATTTACTTTGGCAAATAATATTATTTCTTTTTATTAATAAAATAATTATTTCTTTGTTAATATATATACATCACATATGAACATAGTCTTTAATATAATGTAATAATTATATATAAAATATTGAAAATTTCGTAAGAAATTTAACAGTGCTCAATAAAAAAAGTTATTTTAGTTTGTTATATTGAAATATATTATAAATATATAATTATGTATGCATGCTATATATAAAAATTTTATTTTATTTCAATAGTTTGTTATAAGGAAAAGGATCGTTACGAGCCAAAAGTATCGCTCATACATTCAAAATTCGCATTTAGCCTCGAAAATACATTATATCAAATTTTCGACACGAAACTTGCTCAAAATGTTGTTAACTATGATAATTAAAAACCGAATGGTCCGCAGGCGTTCGTAAGTAATTAATTAACGCTTAGTCGATGCAATGGTGATAAAAATGCCGCGCCGTTAAACGATCCGATATTTTCTGAACAATTTTTAGATACCATCGTTTTGCTCGGAGTATCGATAAAAATCGGCGGACACGTTCTATTGCTAGCTTAGAGCTGATCGCGCGTGCTTTGTAAAAATTTCGATTGCGGGGATAAGCGGTAAATTCGACGAGAAAACCGAAGCTTGGCGGCGAGTTGACGGAGCGATTTTTCTTTATCGAGGTATGATCGTCAACGAGTTATCGAGTCGGAAGAAAGTTTTCACCATCGAGAATCCGCCACTGCGAAAATTCGTTTCTAGGATTTACGGTTTATATCAACGCGCAGAATCCAATCATGTTCCGTCGAAAGTTGTAGGCCACAAATCAGAAGTTAACTGCGAAATCTGCGCATGACAAGCCAGAAATCGAATTACAATCGATACGTTACTACTTCTGTCTTTGGATAATACATACCGATGATAAAGAAAATGTAAACAAATTTGAAAGTTTGTACGAAATCTTTTATTAAGAAATATTATTCATGAATTTTGTTATACTTCCTCAATCGAGAAATTCCACAAAGATACATATTACAATTAAATCAAATCAATAATACAAGTAACAATAATACAAGTAACATACATTTCATTTATTCGATAAATTATCGTTATCAGTTTTTTCAGCCATTTTTACTTAAAAAAAAACTAAAATAATAAACTTGATCAATATTTTATAAAAATTGCAAAAAGCTATTCGATTATAGTCGTTGCGCGATACAAAACTTTCATGGCAATCACAATACTCTAGAAATTGATTTATCATCGAAGGCTTGAACAATCATACGAAAAAGAGAATATTGAATAGTTGCAAAATTAAATTGACGTTACAGTCGCAATACTAAATGTCTCTTTCCAAGTGGTGTCCTGCGAATGAAACGTTTGTGATTTTTCGAGATGTACTGATACTCTAATGGATAGCTATCGAATGCAATCGCAAGGAAAAAAAATATATGCTCGTACGTATTAATCTCTGAATCCGATAGTATTATCTCGGTCAAGAGATACAAAAATCGGTCAAATGTTTCTGTATCAAATGCACTCAACTCCGAAATTAATACTCAAACAGATTTATATGGTATTAATATACTGAATAGAAGATAAAAATAACATTTTATTATTTTACTTATATATAATCAAGCTAAAAATTATTATATTGTGATTTTATGACAGAGTACTTAATAAAAGTGAAATTCATTATGTTAAAAAATGTAGAAATACATAAATATCTTTGATTTTTAATTACATACGCAAAATTATTGCATTTTTTATTTTAGAAGAATGAATGCCATTTTTTTATCTTGTTTTATAATATTTATGGTTTAAAAATATTATATGACCTTTCATGCTTCCTATATTTAGAAGATATACTTCAAGATGCATCAGATACAAGATGCATCTTCTATTAAAATATTTAGTCTACTTCTTTGCTTGATTTCGGTGTTTTAATTAAACATTATTTGCATAGAGGAAAAGTAAGGTGGAAAAGATCGTACATTATTAAAAAACAAAGTCGCGACTTCAAAATCGCGAATGAGATTAGAAAGAATATCGGATTGAGTGCTTTGAAATCAGATTACATTAGCAACTAAATTTTCGTTCTTCATAAAATGGAACGTATCAAGCGAGTTCTGGTACAGTATTTCTCGATGCGGATGGATAGGAGATATTTAATATTCCAGTTCCGTCGATATTGAGAGAAAGCCACGAATAGAATCAATTTTTTTTTACTTTTTTTATAACCGTTATACAATGTCCATTTTTTATATGGATGAATAAGATTTTTATTATCGATTGACGTAAAGAAAATTCAAATTTTAT